TTTGTATCCCTTTCATTGTTTTTCTTGCCTAATGACTCTGGCTAAAACTTCCAGGACACAGTGAATAGCAGTGGTGAGAGTAGGCATCCCTGTCTGGTACCAGATCTCAGTGGGAATGCTTCCAACTTTTTCCCCATTCAATATTATGCTGGCTATGGGTTTGTCTTAAATTGCCTTGATTGTGTTGAGGAATGTTCCTTCTATACCCAAAATGTTTAGAGTTTTCATTATGAATGGGTGCTTTTGTTGTATCCCACAAATTTTGGTATGTTGTATTGTCTTCATTTGTTCGCAGAAATTTTTTCATTTCTCTTTTGATTTCTTCTATGACCCATTGTTCATTTAGAAACATATTGCTCATTTTCCATGTGTTTGCATATGATGCAGGGATTCTTGAGTTGTTGATTTCCAGCTTCATTGCATTGTGGTCTGAGAAGATGCATGGTATGATTCTGATTTTTTTTGAATTTGCTGAGGCTCACTTTATGGCCTAGCATCTTTTGTTGGGCTGGGAAAGTATTTACAAATTCTTTCAATTTCTTCTAGTTGTGGAAGATCCTTATTTTTCTTTCATTCATAAATGAGAGTTTTGCAGGATACAGTGTTCTGGGTTAACAGTTTTTTCTCTTAGGACTTAGAATATGTCTCACCATCATCTCCTTGCATGTAGGGTTTGTGATGAGAAGTCCAGAATGAGTCTAATTGCGTTTCTTCTGAATGTGATCTGTCCTTTTTCTCATACATTTTAAGACCTGTTCTTTATGTTTCAATGAGAGTTTTGCTACAATGTGTCATGGTGAAGTTCTTTTCTGGTCTTGCACACTGGGAGTTTTGTGTGCTTTTTGTACTTGGATGTCTCTTTCTTTCTCCAGATTGTGGAAGTTCTCTGTTATTATTACATTAAGAAGACCTTCTAATTCTTTCTCTCTTCCCACACCTTCCAGAATTCCTAGGATCTGTAAGTTTGGTCATTTGATAGAATCTTGTAAATCTCCAAATGTGATTTTTAAATTTCTAATTTCTTTTCCTTGTATTTGGTCTGACTGTATTCTCTCCAGAAATTTGTCTTCTAGTTCTGATATTCTTTCTTCTGTCTCATCTATTTTATTGTTAAGACTTTCCACTGCATTTTTATTTAATCGATTCAATTCTTTATTTCTAGTATTTCATTCTGGCTTCTCTTTAATATCTCAATTTCTTGGGAGCGCTTTTCATTTAGATTGTGAATTTGTTTCTGGTTGCTTCTAAGTAATCTATTCATTTTTTGAATTCCTTTTCTGGCATATCCTTGATCTCCTCTTCTTCAGCTTCATTACTGAAGAGTTGTAGTGTTGCTTTGGGGAGTTCATAGTGTTTTCCTTATTCTTACTCAGGATTTTTCCTTTGTTTTCAGCATTTCTGGTTGATTCTGTCTTTGTGACTTTGTGCTTGTGGCAAGATTTTCCTCTGCTATGAGCCGCTGTGTGTCTGTGCTTTGAAAGTGAAAGCACACAGCCCCGCCTCCTGGAGCCCTACTCACTTCTAAATCATGATGGAGGTGGGCATCAGAGCTTTGGTGCACTAAGCCCCACACACTGGGGGGCCAGGCTCGCTTCTCCTTGGTGCGTGAAACAAGCCTGAGTTTTCGATGTTTAGAACTACTCCTTGTTGTACAGCTTGAATGGTGGGGAGGAAATTACTCTGAAATGTTGTGATCCTTGTTCCCAAGCAGGGGGTGTTGTGAGGTGGCCCCAGCAATTGATGAGCATGTGCATGGGAGGCAAATGTAGCAGTCCCCTGCTTGCATTCGAAAATCTAAACAATCAATATGCCTTCTCCCTGGTTGGGGGGAGGGGGGAGACACAGATGGAGGGGCATGCCCGCCCTCTCCATTTCTTCTCCTATAATTTATCTTTCTCCCCACTGAAGCTTCAAATGCAGTTCACAAGCCCCCCACCCCACCCCCCACCCACCACCGCTCGCCGCCATCCGCAGCTCCGTGGACTCATGATTTCTCACCTGGTTTTCTGGAAGGGGGTGGAGGTGGTGCCAATCTTCTTGTTCAGCATCTCTGCCATGATTTCACTGTGCCTCCACCACTTCCCTTTGGTTTTTGCTCCCTCAGTGTGGACCTACCCAGTCTCTATTGGACTCTTAGGCTTGTCTGCACGAATTTCTCATGACCCTGTTGCTGGCTTGTATCCCCTTTGCTTATTAACTATTTTGCCCCATGAAAATCGGATCGTCCTGTTGCTACACCACCATATTGGCCTCTCTCCGTCTTTCTGATATAAGTGCTTTAATACGAGATTTCTGAAAAGAGTATACCTTAAAATAATGACTTCCCCCAGGTAGCTAACTGCTAACATAATCATTAATGTTCAAAATCATCTCTCCCTCTTCAGTCAGCAATTAGGTCTTTAAGGCAAGACTAAGTCCATGCAGCTGGCTAGGAAAGGAAATTTAACTTTGACTTGGAATCAAGCCATTATCTGGATACTAGCTGGAAATACTAAGAAAATAATTGCAGGCTCTCAGTAAATTTCTTGAACAATAAACTTAGGTTTCTAGCTAGGAAACACTTGACAATTCATTTTACCAAGTACTGCTGCAGCATGTTGAATGCTAAGTCCAAAATGGTAAACGGTCATATTAACAGAATACATTTAAACCACAACATGATCTAATAGATCAGAACTTTTCTAATTTACAATGTTTTAGGAATAAGTTTTAAAAGAAAGAAAGCTGGAAAGAACAAAAAGGAGAAAAAGGTAGCATTTGAGAGGAAAGGGAAGAACTCTGAAAGTGTCAAAAAGAAAGAGAAACTTAGAAGAAACAAACTTTTATCACAGCTTTTCCAAGCATCAGTCCCTATTTAAAGGTAAAAGGTGATTTTTTAGCACTTGGCTCCACCTTTTGTAGTTTTCCTGTCTTCCTCACCCTGAGGCTGTCAGCTTTTAATTTTTGCTGCCATGACTGTACCTGTTAAAAAACAGCCACCCTACTCCACTAAAAGGTGAATCTGTTGACAAATAGGGAACAGAAAGAAAAATAAAACTAAAAATTTAGCAGTACCATATATAAACAGTCAACAGATTCTGAGAAATTATCATGTGTAGGATTTTAACTCCGGTTTATGAATTCTATGATTTTGATTACTGGGACATCTTTTGCTTTCTGCATCTTTCCTGGCCATGTTCCATATATTTAAGGTTATCACATATATATTTTTTTTTTTTTTTGACAGGCAGAGTGGACAGTGAGAGAGAGAGACAGAGAGAAAGGTCTTCCTTTGCCGTTGGTTCACCCTCCAATGGCCGCCACGGCCAGCACACCGTGCTGATCCAATGGCAGGAGCCAGGTACTTATCCTGGTCTCCCATGGGGTGCAGGGCCCAAGCACTTGGGCCATCCTCCACTGTACTCCCTGGTCACAGCAGAGAGCTGACCTGGAAGAGGGGCAACTGGGACAGAATCCAGTGCCCCGACCGGGACTAGAACCTGGTGTGCCAGCGCCGCAAGGTGGAGGTTTAGCCTAGTGAGCCGCGGCGCCGGCCCAGGTTATCACATTTTTAAAAGCAATTTAAGGGGCCAGCGCTGTGCCGTAGTGGGCTAAGCCTCAGTCTGCGGCACCAGCATTCTTTAAGGGCGCCAATTTGTGTCCCAGCTGCTCCTCTTCCAATCTAGATCTCTGCTGTGGCCAGGAAAGAGTAGAAGATGGTCCAAGTGCTTGAGCCCCTGCACCTGCAAGGAAGACCAGAAGAAGCTCCTGGATCCTGGCTTTGGAGTAGCCCAGCTCCAGCCACTGAGGCCATTTGGGGAATGAACCAGTGGATGGAAGACCTTTCTCTCTTTTCTTCTCTGTAACTCTACCTCTCAAATAAATAAACAAAATCCTTTTAGAAAAAGTAATTTAAAGTATGATACCGTTCCCTCATAATTCCTTTATATAGTAAGTCCTACCAAATACAAATATAAATTTCTTTACGACCCACCTCCAAACTTAAGAATTAACTTGCATACTAGTTTACAGCAAAAGAACTTCTATTAAAAGAAGAAATACTTGTAGATTTTTAAAATTCAGTTTTATAATATTAACATGGAAGGTGGCATACTTGTTAACATACTCATTAAACAACAACTGACATAGTCATATTTTAATAAAACATTCTAACAATTACTTAACCTAAGCAATGGGATATTTGCCACCAATAGTATGTATGTACGCAGCAAGTGCATATATGCATCAAGTGATGCTTTCCCAATTAACTCATAGAAAGGAATACAAAACAGGTTTTTAAATATGCTAATATCAGTATCAATCTTTTTCCTTAGTCAGGAAATGTTTGCAAAAAAGTATCACTCAGATGAAGTTCACATGTACCTTTAAAAGAGATTACCAGTAAGGGTGTAAGTGAAACAGAAATAACATTTTTATTTACATTGAGTATGAAATAAAAATTAAACTAAAATAATTAATTGGGGCCAGTGTCGTGGTTAAGTGGTCACCTACAACATGGCATTCCAAAATCAGAGCTCCAGATCAATCCCTGGCTTCTGCACATCAAATCCAGCTCTCTGCTAATGTGCCTGTGAAAGACGAGGAAGATAGTTCAAGCAGTTGGGCCCTTGTCACCCATGTGAGAGACTCGGCTGGAGTTCCTGGCTCTTGGCTTCCACCTACACCCATCCTAGCTGTTGCAGCCATTTGTAGAATGAACCAGCAGACAGAAAAATCTCCTTCTCTCTCTTTCACTCTTTCTCTGTCACTTTGCCTTTCAAACAAATAAAATAATTTTTTTCAAAAGACACAAATAATTTGTACATAGCCTCAAAATACATACTAAATGTCTGGGTTAAAATAAATGAACAGCTAGCATTTTATTTATCAAAAAACTCCACGACTCTTTTGGTATGAGAAATGACTAAACAAGCCCAAAACTAAGAGTGAATACTTTTTGTTTTAATACTACTTTCATTTTAAATTGTCTTAATGCAGTTTTTGGTTGGTTGTTTTAGTACCTTTGAAAATTCTTCAGGTTCCTTTATATCTAACGACCTTGTCGCGAACTCTAGTAGTTCTTCAGAGTTCTCCAGGGCATTGTTACATTGGCTAAGCTGACTCTAGAAATAAACAACAATTAAATCATTAAAATGAGGTTTCTTACTGCCATCAAAATCTTCAACTTAAAAATAATAACAATAACTGAACAAAAATATTTCAGTTACTAAGAAATTTTAATTATTTTAATACTTTGTATTTAACCTCTTCTTATGGTTTATCCAAAACAGTTTAACCATATACAAATAAAGATATACTCATAATTTAAAATAAAGCAATTATAAATATCAGAAACCAAATTTAAAGACTGTTCTTGAGCAAAGTAGTCAGAAAACCACACATAATTTTAGGTACCAAAATTATCTATAGAAAATATTCTCTATAATGAAGACTAAATTTCTTTATTTTTAAAAAGACTTATTTATTTATTTATTTGAAAGGCAGAGAGAGAGGGAGAGAGAGAGATCCCCCCAAATAGCCACACCAGTTGGGGCTGGGCCAGGCAGAAGGCAGGAGCCAGGAGCTTCATCTGGGTCTCGTAAGTGGGTACAGGGGTCTAAGCAATTGGACCACCTTACACTCCTTTCCCAGGCCATTAGCAGAGAGCTGGATCACAAATGGAGTAGCCAGGACTCGAACTGGTACTCATATGAGATCCTAATATTGCCCACAGTGGTTCAAACCCACCACACCACAACACCCCTGCACCAATCTCAAAGAAGTACAAATTCCTTGTTAATATTTAGCTGTTTATGGGGCCAGCATTGTAGTACAGTGGGTTGAGCTATCTCCAAAGTTGGCATCCATATCGGAATGCCAGTACGAAGCTCTGGCTGCTCCAATTCAGATCCATTTCAGACCCTGCTAATGTGCCTGGGAAAGCAGCAGAGAAGAGCCCAAGGACTTGGGCCCCTGCTACCCACATGGGAGACTGGACTGGAGTTTCAGGCTCCTGGTTTCAACCTGGCCCAGCCCAGGCCATGAACCAGAAGATGAAAGATCTCTTTCACTCTGTTATTCTGCCTTAAAAAGATAAGCTTATTTAAGCTGAAGTCTGTGTATCAAACTACAGGTACATCCAGTTGAGCATAATGTTAATACTCCACTTAATCACATTCAAGAAAGACATAACACTATAAATGCTGATTTATAGTTTCCCAGGCTGAATAGCACAGAAATCACAAATTTAAGTACAGGTTGCAATCCCTAATCTGAAAAACCAAAATCTAAAATGCTACAAAAGTCTCAAACATTTGGAACATAATATCAGTGCTCAAAAAGTTTCAAGAGTTTGGATTTTCAGACTGGGTATGCTCAACTAGTGAAAACTTATGTAAATATTTCAAAATCTGAAAAACCCCCAAAACTAAAACATTTCTGGTCCCACTCATTTCAGATAAGGGATACTCAGCCTGTACCTAGAATTCAAAAGGAACAAGGAGGAACAAAAGACAGTAGCCATTATAGTTACTCTCTGTTTCATTATTCACATACTAATTCTACCTAACACAATCTTTCCTATTCATCTCTATTATTTGTAGGTCATTCGAGAAGACTGTTAGTTGCCTTCAAGCAAGAAACAGACCTATTTGTTAGATTTTAAATGTATCTAAGATTCTTCTTCAGATATTCATGAAAATCTATTCGATATTCAAGTCTACTTATTTTCTTCTTAAGTTTAGCAATAAGGATAAACAATAGCTCATTTTACTGATTTATGATGTGTTCTATATTTTTAATCAGGAGAAGTAGAACAATTCAGTCACATCCTGAGTTAAAATAGGTTTTCACATGTTAATTTAAAATTCTAAAAACAATTTCACAAAAGTACTACTCCTATGAGTATAGGCCTCATGATTTCCCAGCAAGAATTAACAAGTCACCACTTAAAACACTCCATTTGTAGATATACTTTCTGAAAGGGTTAGGCAAAAGTAATGAAAACACAAAACAGGATCAATGAGGCAGATAAAGTCAATTTAATATTAGCATCAAAAATATGAAGTTTGGAGCTGGTGCTGTGGTACAGTAGGTTAATCCTTTGCCTGCAGGGCCAGCATCCCATATGGGCGCTGTTTCTAGTCCCAGCTGCTCCTCTTTTGATCCAGCTCTCTGCTATGGCCTGGGAAAGCAGTAGGAGACGGCCCAAGGCCTTGGGCCCCTGCATCTGCATGGGAGACCCAGAAGATGCTCCTGGCTTCAGATTGGCGCAGCTCCGGCCATTGCAGCCATTTGGGGATTGAACCATCGGACAGAAGACCTTTCTCTCTCTCCTTCTCACTGTCTGTAACTCTACATCTCAAATAAATAAATAAATAAAATATTTCAAAAATATGAAGAAAAATTATATATAAAGAGATTATTACAAATAAAAGAGTCCTGGAACTGTTTCAAATACAGTTGTCCCACCATGTCAGAACTAAAGAAAAATGTTAAACTGGGAACTGTTTCAATTTTCTACTTAAAAATTTATCTTCTTGCTGTATAGAGAAAGACCACAGGGCTTAGCAAATAAAAAAAGTGGAAGGGAGCAATTTGAAATCAAAGTTTGAGAGAAAATAATATTTTAAAAAAATTCTACGAGTTTTTCTTAAAAGCAAGAGCAAAATAAAAAGGGAGATGTGGACATCTGGCTCAGTGGCTTAGATACCACGTAAGATGTCTGTATCCCATATCAGAGTGCTTGGGTTTGAGTCCTGGCTCCAGTTTCCTACAAATGTGCACCCTGGGAAGCAGCAGGAAATGGCTCAAGTACTTGGATCTGCCAATATAGAAGACCTGGAGTGAGTCCCAGGCTCCTGGCTTTGGCCTTGCCCAGTCCCACCTGTTGGGGTTTTGGGGAGTGAACAAGGGGATGGAAGAGCTCTGTCTGTATTTCAAATAAAAATAATTAAGTATTTTTAAAAGGGGAGAGGGTAATATAATTTATAATTTATATATATAATTTAATTTAAAGAGCATTAATTTACCAATTATTCATAGAAATTATGAATGATTTTGTGAATTTAAAGAACAGAGATCCTCTATAACCTACAATTCATACACAATGTTGATGATATTGCAGGCAGTGGCTTAACCCATTGTGCTACAATGCCAGCCCTAAGGACTTTTGATCTTTGTTTCAACAAATTAACTGTCTCTCCCTTTCTTTCCTTTATTAAAAATTCCTTGCTCAAAGCTCTTCAACCCAGCTTTGAAAGAACTGCTTCTGATTTTTTAGATTTTTATTTATTTGAGAAGCAGAGAGGCAGAGAGAGAAACAGAGTTCCCATCTGCTGGTTCACTCCCCAGATGCCCAGGAACTGGGAACTCAATTGAGTTTTCCCACATGGGTGACAAGGACCTAATTACTTGAGCCATAACCTTCTATCTCCCAGGATGTGCATTAGCAGGAGGCTGGAATCAGGAGTGGAGCCAAGACTTGAAGCAGATACTTCAACATGGGATGCAGTAGACCCAACCACCATTTAAACACTGAGCCAAATGCATGCCCTAGAACTGCTTCATAAGTCAATTCTCTTCCTGACTCTTCTGAATTATGTACAGCTGTAAAATGCTTACAGCATTAAATATTTGTGGGGCCAGTGCTGTGGCTTAGTGGGTTAAGCCTCCACCTGAGGCACCAGCATCCCATATGGGAGCCAGCTCATGTGTCGGCTGCTCCTCTTCTGATCCAGCTCCCTGTTGATGGTCTAGGAAACAGTGAAAGATGGCCCAACTGCTTGGATCCCCTGCACCCACGTGGGAGACCTGGAAGAAGCTTCTGGATCCTGGCTTTGGATTGGCCCAGCTCTGGCTGTTGCAGCTATTTGGGGAGTGAACCAGCAGATGGAAGACCCCCCTCCTCTATACCTATGCCTTCTCAAATAATATAAATCTTTTTTAAAAAAATTATTAAATCAGATATTTATCTACTGTACATTTTTGCTTATCCTTATAAATCTAATCTCTGTGATAAAAGATCTGATTTTCCTTGTTTTTGCACTTCTTTCAAATTATCTTCCACTAGAATGTGAAATCCACAAGCTGTTTTTTTCCATATTATACCCAAGATCCATCACAGTAGTTGTTTTAACGGAATTACTCAAATTTTACTGAATGAATGCATCAAACAGTGGATCTGATAATCAAGTATCATCACTGATTTATCCTATAAATTGTGCTGAGTGACATTTTAAACTACATTTTTAAATATAAATTTTAAACATTAAGATGTAAAACACTTTAAAGCTTTGTCAAATTCCTTTACAGATTGGATCCAAGATGGTTAAACAGAAAGGCCCTGAACTCTCCAAAGAAGAACCAGAAAAACAAAAAGAGCTGCATTTCCAAGAGGCTGTCTGAAGGTAAACTTCAGTAAGGAAGTGACGAGGACTCTAAAATGCACAGAGAATCTGAAAGCCAGCAATGACAGAGGAACGAAGCACAAGGCAGCTCCCACCCTGGCTCCTGAGCCAGGCAGACTCCATCTTTTTGAGGAAAGATAAGCAGAAAGCTCCACAACCCCAGCCACGGCCACGCCCAGCAGCACTAACTGCAAGAGAATCCTATGGTCCTCAATGGCTTTAAATTCAGTCTAGAAAGTTAACTGGAGTCTGAACTACTGCTTTGTTCCTAAAAAGGAACCCACAGTCCTCCCTCTACTGAAAAAGTCTCAGATCCAAGCTACTGTGGAACAGCCACTGCTAAACTGTCTTAGGAGACAGCAAGTAGCCCATCAATACCAGAAAGTCTCAGAGCTGGAACCCAAGAACTTCACTGGGCATAGAATGCCTCTCTGCATTCCATAACTGTGGAACTGCTGGGTATAATCCCCAGAACCTTGCTCCCTTATCCTGTGCAATCTAGAGAAGACCCCTCTGCTTCTTGGAGCTCAACAACCCACACACAAGCCTAGATGATGAGATCTGAACAAGTCCGCTTCTGCACTCTTAGCATAGAGTGCTGGGTGACCAGGGCAAAAGCCCCATGTCACCCTTGCATGCCAGGTATGAAGTACAGGCGGTCCCTTCTGTGTCCTGCAACTTTGGGACTATGGCTATTGGTGCTACAATCCTTGTAG